CATCGAACGACCACTGTTCGGTCGTTGCACTGAAAATCCAACAGTATGTCGAGCACACCGCTCAATCAGTATGGTCGGACAAGCTTGCTATAATTGAACAGTGTGCTAGGGATCTTTCAGAAAGTACGTCAGTCATTCGCCGTTAGGAACCTGCCAAGTTCAGCCGCTGAACGCTCTCAAAGCGCCTGGTAAGATAATGTATTGCCTGCAATGCATTTGTGTATTGCGGGATGGCCTACCTTGGGCCTCGCAGGCGCCGAGCTCCCGTAATTTACCGAATCAATCTCTGAGAAAACGGACGTACTTTCTGGACGATCCCTAAGCACACAGTTGGATTTTCAGTCTGTTTGTTGCGGAAGGAACCTCCTAACTTAACGCCGGCAACCCCATTTGACTATGGTCAGTCATAGGCTCTCTCTCCCCCTCTCTCTCTCTCTCTCTCTCTCTCTCTCTCTCTCTCTCTCTCTCTCTCTCTCGCTGGCCAGTCGCGCGGGGAGCATCAGACGTGCACGCACCTCTGCATGACCTTTCGGGGGAGAGGATTCAGCGGAACGGAGACCTTTCGACAAGTGCTGCCTCCTATGCAGTCTGCTGCATAGTCTCGCCTGCATGTGCAAGCTCGCTGTGAACAAAGTTACGAGTCTCACTCCCGAGCAGGATGAGCAATAAATGATATGATGTGCGTTGCACGCGCGGCTGTCCTGGGTTCCGGGATGGCTTGGGTGGGGGTGTGTGTTGGGGAGGAGGGTTGTCCCTCGGGCAGGACAAACGCATCGCCAAAGCGAAACAATGGATGTGTATCATGAGAGGAGGGCTTTGCTGGAATAAGGCCATCCGCGTGCGCACACGTACTCGCACAAACATTCGTTGTGAATGCACTCATGCACCACAGCGTACGTGCAGCACGCGTGACAATGCCGTGGATCTGTAAGAGATATGTGTGCGTGCGTGTGTGTGTTGGTGCGAGAGACCAGACCCCAAATCAGCAACCACGCCTTTGTCACACACACTCACGACACGGTAATATAATAACCCCGTCGACACAATATCATGCATGGCCTTACAAACTTCTACCGCGTGTGTTCTTCCCCAACGTGTATAGCCTACTTCTAATAAATAAAAATGGAAAAACAATGTGCACTGTAAAAAAAATCCATCTTAATTTTAAGAACACGTGTTTGGAAGCAATTTACAAAACAAATTTGCTCTTAAATTTAAGAACAAATGTTTTATGAAAATTAAGAACATGTTTTGAAAATTAAGAACGTGTTATGAAACGACAAAAATGCTTTACTGTTCCTACGGACAGATGTTCAAACCCGACTTTGTACACATTATAGTTATTTACCTTAACTTACCTGGGTGGATTCGAACCTCGGACCTTTGGGTTCGGATCCTGACGCCTTAGACCGCGCGGCTGTCGGGACATACCTGTGCAGGGAACGATCGCACCCGACCTTATGCGGCGCTCCGTCCAGGGGCATTCCCAGAGTAGATATGTGCTTGGTCGGACGGCATTTCGCTTTGGCATAGCTACATTTCGCTTATCTAATTTGATGATGTTCATCCAATTCTATATTGAACACCAAAATTCTATGTCCAGTGGTCAGAAGCTGCATGACTTTTAACAAAATTGTTTTGAAAAGTCACACTTATTCTTACTTTTAATACTAGCATTCAGAACACTTCTTAAAACTAAGAAAATCTTTTAAATTTAATAAACTTGTTATAAAATTTAATTACCCTTATCAGAATTTTCATAACCTGGTTTGCAAAATTAAGAAAACTTCTTAAATATCATAATTTGTTCTTACGTTTAAGAACAACTGAAAATGTTATTAAATTTAAGATACATTTTGGTCTTAAATTTCAGAATATTTTTTACAGTGTGTAACCTTTTCTTAAGGAGTTTCAAACAACCGTGCCTGTGCTTATAGAACGTCGAAATTTAACGTGCTCAATTATTTTGAACTGCCTATTCTGGAATACCGAACGTCGAGAATTTTCCACTGAACCTTTGTCTTCTTCTCGTTCCTTCTCCTCCTCCAATATGACAGCCGATTTTAGCCTCTGAATCGAAACCTCTCGCGTCGTGGAGGACGCGGGTGCGCCCCGCGGCCGCCGCCTTGTGCCCGTTTCGTGTGTCCTCCCGCACACACACACACACACACATCGCATCAGATAAGCCGCGGTAATTGCCGTGCGATCATCTTCTGCCCGCGGGCGTCCTATCCCATCGGTCTGTTCAGCGGCGCGGCGGCGCTGGGGCGGCGGTCGGCGGCAGCCTCCCGGTGGAGGCGGTGGTGGCGTGCACCATTCTTACCACACGCGTTGCTGCTGCTACTGCTGCTGCCACTGCTGCTATAGCTCCTGTAGCTACTGTAAATGTTGTAGCAGCTGCTGTTGCTACTGCTGCTGCAGGGCTTCTCCTGTAGTACAGCATCGCGGCGCACCGTTTTCCTCCCGCCGTCTGGCTCCGCAGACGAGCGTCGTCGACTACCTTG